AGATGAGGTGTGGTGGCCAGACTTGTTTCTGACTTGGCCAGTCTTCAGGGTGCCTGGGGCCTGTTCTAAGATGTTTGTGGATGAGGCCAGGCTGTAAGCCACCCTCCCACTCCTGCCCCGCCTACCTCTCTGGCGGGCTGCCCCAACTCATGGTGGCCACAAACCCTGTCCCAGCTATCTCATATTGTGGCCGCTCTTGATTTGGGGGCAGCTATCCATGTCCTGGTGCGTGGGATGCCTGGCAGCTCATGTCTGTGCCGGCCCACTGGATCAGCCTGAATGCTTGTTTCCAGGTGTTGTCTTTTCTGCCAGAAAGCAGGACAACCGCACCCCATCAGAAAGCCTGGGGGGCGGTCCAGGGCTCCCTGTTGCTTTCACTGAGCTTGCTGAACAGGCCCCCTAACCCTTTCCCGTTGCTTTCTTAAGGGGAGGGTGTGTTCTGTAGGGAGCAAGGCTCTTGTTCCTCAAGGTTCACTGAAAAAATCACTGACATGAAGCAGGGAGGGAAAAGACACAAAGTTATTTAACAGGTATACACAGAAACCCTCAGAATGAAGCTGTAACTCCCCAGTGGGGTTCAGAAGTTTAATTGCCTTTCTGCTAAAATAGGTGTGGGAGGAGGGACAGAAGGGCAATAAAGGCCTGCTAAGGAGTGGAGCTCAGCTGGTAAGCAGTTCTCCCTGGGTGAGTTCCACTGACCAGGACACTATCTTTTTTCTTGAGATAGAGTCTCACTCTGTTGCCCAGGCTGGAGTGCCGTGGCATCAGCCTAGCTCACATCAACCTCAAACCTCTGGGCTCAAGCGATCCTCCTGCCTCAGACTCCCAGGTAGGTGGGACTGCAGGCACCCACCACCACACCTGACTAGTTTTTCTATTTCTAGTAGAGGTGGGGTTTGCTCTTGCTCAGGCTGGTCTTGAACTCCTGAGCTTAAATTATCTTCTTGCCTTGGCCTCCTAGAGTGCTAGGATTACAGGACATAGTGCCTGGTGCTCAGCCATTATCTTCTTAAAGAGTCTGTTCAGGTGTGCTCACTCTTCTGGCTTCACAAGGACAGGAAGAAAGCAATGATCGTTCTCCTGAGTGGGTCTGGATCTGAGGCCGATGGCAGTAGAGAGAGAAAGGCTTCTGGGTGGGGACCATGGTGGGGACCGTGGTGGGGACCCTACGGGCCGGGGTGGGCTAGAAGTGGACCCCCATGTTAGGACTCATTTCTGGGGCTGGACTCGTCCCATTTATTAAATGTGCTTCTGGCCCCTTCTTACCCAACTCTGAAGGAAGCCATTGGGCAGAGAGGCACCTCCGGGAAGGGCCAATTCCACCTTGCTGCTGCTGTCTGAACATGCCGTGCTCACAGATTCCTATGTGAAGCCTTTGTCTCAAAATATAAAACACAGGCAGTTTTCATTCCTCAAACTTGAGGGGAAAAATAAAAAAAAAATTTAAGCCCCCAACACTGCCAGTTTGAGCTTGGCTGGTTCTTCTAAGAAGCCCCTCGAAAGAGTGATGGAGCATGGGAGTGCAAGAGTGGCTAAACACATGTGATACACACACACAGAGCCGTATTTCATGGTCTTAAATGGGAAGGAACTTCTGATACCTGCTATAACACAGTCGACCTTAAGACTTTATGCTATGTGACATGAGCCAGACTATAGGATTCCACTCGTGAGGTTCCTAGAATAGCCAAATTCATAAAGACAGAAACCAGCATGGAGGTTGCCAGGGGTTAGGGGGCAGGGAAATGGGGAGTTAGGGCTTAATGGGAGTGGGCTTCAATTTTGGAAGATGGAAAAGTTCTGGAGATGGAGGGTGGTGATGGCTGCTCAACACTGTGAATGCATGTGCGTGCTGCTGCTGAACTGTATGCATAAAAATAGTTAGAATGGCAGATTTTATGCTGTGTATATTTTACCACAATTTTAAAAAGTAAAACTCAGTGAATTGCAGGCTGAGCTGGACACTGGGCCAAGGAGCGGGATGCGGGGTGGAGGAGGCTGCAGCCGGTTGAGCAGGGCTGCCTGCCCACTGCCGTCAATGTGGGCTGGGTAACGTTGGGCCAGGTGTATGGAGGTGTGAAATCCAGGTCAGTCCATAGCACTGAGGGGAGGGTGACAGAGGCAAGAGGCCACTCTCACGTTTGCTTCATCCCACTTTCCCTGAATCTGAGTTCAACTCCTTTTTTTTGTCCATGGCTGAACAGCCAGTTCTCCCATTCACAGAAACGTCTGTCTGTGAACAGATCACCAGAGCATGGTGGGTTGGCAAAGGAGCTAAGACCTCCCACTGAGTCAGTCCCCAAAGTGCCTGGGTTTGGTAACTGGATGAAGGATACCAACCCTCATTTGTCTAGCAGTATGGGGAGGAGGGGAGCAGTCAGTCTGGACCCAGCTGGAGTGCTGAGCCAGCACCGTCAGGGGTGGCGACGCTATGCATTTTCAGTTCTCTGGAGAAAATGAACCTAGAGCTCACAGCCCCCACCCTGCTCCCCTCTGTGCACACAGCTTCAGGGTGACCTCCACTGGATCTTGTTTCCCAGGATGGTTGTGTTCTATAATGTCACACTGCACACTGAACCAGCCAGCGCTGGATCCCTGTTCCCAGGGCCAGTGCAGCTCCTAGAGCCAGCCAGGCTCTGGCCACCAGTCAATACATAACCTTATGTCATGTGTGTTTCTATTCAAAGGCACCTTAATGTCTTAGAAGATTACCTTAATGAATATACTATTTTTCTTTTTTTTTTTTGGAGGCAGAGTGTCTGTCCCCCGAGCTGTAGTGCGATGGCTGATGCCTAGCTCACAGCAACTTCAAACTCCTGGATTCAAGTGATGCTCCTGCCTCAGCCTCCTGGATAGCTGGAACAGGGAAGCTGTGTCTAAAGGGAGGCTACAAGCCCTGGGGACCCTATGACCGTCCATCCAATTGTTCTTTAGGTGACATTTGGAATCCTGACAGATCGAAAATGCTGAGGAACAGAAGGTGGGAGATCTGACACCATACCCCATACCCTCTGCATTCCACACAGGCCTGGTAGAGAAGAGAGGGAAACTCTTTGGCTGTTTCAATGGCAGTGAGATTGCCTAGAGGACCCGGGCCCTACACTGAGGAGCTCAGGGCAGACATCTAACCTCCCACGTGGAAATGCTGTGGACATGCTCTGTCCAGCGTCTTAGACATGTCCCAAGGGTATGCTGGGGGCTAAATATTTGTGTTCCCCAGATTCAGCCGCTGAAATCCCAACCCCCAAGATGGTAGCCTTTGGAAGTAGGTCCTTTGGGGGGGGCGGTGTTAGATCTTGAGGGTGGCACTCTCATGAATGGGATTAGAGCCTCCAGAGAACTGCCTTGCTCCTTTAGCAGATGAGGGTAAAGCAACCAGTCAGTGCTCACTAGACACTGAATTGGCTGGTACCTTGAACTGGGGCTTCCCAGCCTCCAGAACTATGAGAAACAAATGTTTGTTGTTTGTAACTCGTCCAAATTACAGTACTTTGTCATAGCAGCAAACTCCCATGGTCTTACATTGCCCTGCCCCCGCCCCCACCTCCACCCTTACCCCAGCACCTGTCATTCAGTTTTTACTTTTTAAAATTTTACAGACTGGGTCTTGGTTCTTGCTCTGTCACCCAGGCAGGAGTGCAAGTGGTAAGATCACAGCTCACTGCAGACTCCAATTCATGGGCTCAAATGATCCTCCTGCCACAGATGCCCAAGAAACTGGGATTACAGGCCTGGGCTATCACACCTCGATAATTTTGAAAAAACTTTTTGTAGCGATGTGGTCTCACTGTGTTGCTCAGGCTGGTCTTAGGTGACATTTGGAATCCTGACAGATTGAAAATGCTGAGGCACAGAAGGTGGGAGGTCTGACCCCAACTCAAATGATCCTCCCTCCTCCACCTCCCAATGTGCTGGGACTACAGGTGTGTGCCACCATGGCCAGCCCACATTCTTTACTTATAAGTGAAACTTAGAGATGAAAACTTCCTTTCCACTATGATTCAATGAAAACTCTATACCACCTGCTATGAATTGAAGACAGAAAGCTGGGGAAAAAAAAAAAAGCAAAGACATTAAATTCTACTTAGATGGTGATGCCTGCCTCTCCAGGTGGGAAAGGAGAAGTGATAAGTATCAAAGAAATTCAAAGGACCTAAATGGGGCCCAGATTTAATGAAGGAAAAGGAGCAGAGAAGGAAGCCATTTCTCTCCAGGACAGCACTTTAAGTTTTGGAAAACTTCTGTCACTGGAGTCAGCGGTGGCGGGAGTGGGTGGGTGGATGAAGGTGGGGACACTTGGGGGCACTAGGATAAGGTGACCAGATTTTAACATTGGTAAAGCTGGACACCATTGAAGGGGGAGAGGTGGAAGGGTGGAGGGGGAGGGGTGTTCTTAATTAAAAATTTGGTCTATATGGAGCAACAAAAATTTCCATAGAACACAAAAATAGTATTGTAATATATATATTTTTAATTTCAACATAAGTACAATTTACAAATATAATAATTAAAAAAATTATGTATAGGGCGGTGCCTGTGGCTCAAAGGAGTAAGGCTCAGGTCCACTTGGGCGACCTCGCCCAGGAGGGGAGTAGGGAGTTTACATTAGCCTTTTCATTTCCAAGTGAAGTCACATTAACCTCTCCATTCCCAGATGGAGTTACATTAACCTTTTCAGCAACCGAAAACCGTATATTCCCTTCCCGTTGTCCCGCTGTTCCCTAGCTTGTAGTGCTTTCTTTCCAAAAATCGGGACTGTTTTAAAAGGCCGCGAGACGCGGGACAAATTGTTAAAAATCGGGACTGTTCCGCCAAAAGCGGGAAGTCTGGTCACCTTAGACTAGGAGGGTCCCAGACTCCTCCCCTCCCCACCCCAGCCCTGACCTGGAGGAGGGCGGGGTGGTGTCATGCCCATCCATTGGGCCTCCCGCCGGCTCATTTGCATGGCCCGAGGGGGCGGGGTCGGCTAGCGTCACGCATGGAATGCCTAGCCGCCCGGCGGGGCCGGGTAGAGAGCCGGAGCTGGCTGGGGAGCAGCTGCGCATCCGCGCCCACCCGGAGCCCTGCTTGTCCCGGAGCCCGACCCACAGCAGCCATGTACAACTCCGAGAGCGGCTGGAGCCTGTCCTTCGCAGGCTGCGGCTTCCTGGGCTTCTACCACATCGGGGTGAGTCGCTGCCTGATGGAACGCGCCCCGCACCTCCTGCGAGACGCGCGCACGCTCTTCGGTGCCTCCGCCGGGGCGCTGAACTGCGTCAGCATCCTCTGCGGGATCCCACTAGGTGAGTCTCGGGCTCCGCGCGCAGAGGGGCGTCCCCAGGCTGAGCAGCGGGTGGCAGCCGGGGGTCGCCCCTGGGGGTCGGAGTGGGACTTGGTGGGGTACATCCTATTGGTCTCTTCTCCGCACAGATGGCTCCTCCTCTGGGGAGTCCACTCGCCCCTCCAGGGTCCCTGCCGCTGGGCCCGGGAAGGGGTACTCCTGAGGGGTGGAATTTCTGATCGTGGGAACCCCGAACTGTCCAGGTCGGATCTCAGCCTTCTGAGTCAGGAGCTCTTACACTTCCCCAACCCAAAACCTCTTCAGTGCCCAAGCTTTAACAGAGCTCCTGGCCTTGAGATTGAGCAACTGGGAGGAGGGTCCTCGGGAGGCTCTGGGTGCGCTGAGCTGCTGAAGAAAAGCCGATTTGCTCTGGGTCTTACCAAGAGCTGAGCTTTGGCCGACTACCAAGACGGGCACCTTCCCCAGTGGGACTGGAGAGACCACGCGCTTTTGGTCTCAGCCCAGCCCCCTTGGAAGCTGGGTGGTCTCTCGGAGGGAGCGACCCTTAGGAGTCCTCCAGGACGGACTAGCTGGAGTCGTAACCACGGGGCATGGAATAGGAAAGTTGTTTCTCCCCCTATTCCTCTAGCATTTGGGACTCTTCCTGGGTCCCTGGACATCCCCCATCCCATCCTCTCCTCTGGTCTCCATTGGCCTGGGCCAGCCCTCCCAGCTCAGTGCCACTGAGATCTTGTATGTTTTCTTCTTGTCCTAATTAAACATTTGTCCATGTGGGTGTCGGGGGGAGAAAGTGAAGTTTGTGTCTCACTAGCCTGAACTACTAGGGTGTGGCCTAGGGCAAGTGGCAGTGTGGAATTGTTAACACCCAGAGGTCCCCAGACAGAAAGATAATACCCGGTGTCAGCCGGTTTATCTATCTGGGCTTCCGAACAATTAGCTCTTTGCTTTGCCTGCTAGAGCCAGCAGGGGGCGCCGTTGATGCGGCGAGGAAACCCCCGCGGGAAGGCGAAGCCCTGTCATTGGACAGGATCAGTGAGCAGACCCTGGGCTGACCTGGAGGTGGGGATTAGGGACTAGGCAGCCCTGGCTGTCTGCCTTTCCCAGTGAGGGGGAGAGGAGCAAAGGGCAGGAAGTGTGGCCTCCGGGAAGATTAGACTGGCCTGGCCGCACTAGGGCTACATGACCATCTGCACACACTGGGCTTTAGTGATGATAAAAGCCAGCTCTTAGATCCCAAGATGGCCTGTGGCACCCACATGTACAAATGTTTAATTAGGACAAGATTCAAATGCACTGATCCCAGGAGCCTGAAGCAGGCTAACTCCAGTATAGAGGGGTTCCTAACTGGGCAGTGGACAAGGTCTGTGCCTACCACGTCCCTGGAAAGTGGATCTGGAGATTTTGGCAGGTGCCACTCCCATGTTCTGGAGCCCCAGGTCCCTGCTCTTGAAGACTGATGAGCATTTCCCAAAAGCTGTGGCCTGGGCACAACTCCTCAGCACATCTGAGCAGAGGCTGCCTTGGCAGGAGAGACAGGCAGAATCTGCCAGCCATGTGCAATTCCACCCCTTTTGGCCAGGCTCAGTGGGGCCACCAAGAAGGGAGAGCTGCACATCGAGGTCAGAGTTGGATCAGGACAGGCTGGTGCATGTTTGTCCTTGTGCATCCCAGGAAGTGTGGCTGACCAGGTGTCAGTGTGAAAGGGGTGGTCCTGCATGCCAGAGGGGCTGGGCCAGTGGGTGAGGTCAGATGGAGCATGAATGTGCCTTGTATACACTACACAGGTAATTCTGGCAGTAAAGGCTTAAGGTTGAGAATAGTACTTATTTACTAGAAGCCCCTTCTGGTTTGAGCACTTTACAGATTGTATTTTATTAATTTCTCTCTGTTTCCAAAAGGTGGGTGAATCTTGTCCTACATTAAAAAAACACAGTCTGGCCAGGCGCAGTGGCTCATGCCTGTAATCCTAGAACTCTGGGAGGCTGAGGCAGGTGGAGTTCAAGACCAGCCTGAGCAAGAGTGAGACCCCGTCTCTACTAAAAATTGAAAACCTAGCCAGGCATTGTGGTGACACCTGTAGTCCCAGCTGAGGGAATGAGGGAGGCTGAGGCTAGAGAATGGCTTGAGCTCAAGAGTTTGAGGTTGCTGTGAGCTATGATGATGCCATGACACTCTAGCCTGGGTGACAGAGTGAGACTCTGTCTCACACACACACAAAAAAAAGAGTAAAAGACACAGGTGAAATTAATCTCATTGAGTGTAATATATCCAAAATATCATTTTGACATTTAATCAATATAAAACTTTTTTTTTTTTTTTTTTTGCAACAGAGTCTCTGTTGCCCTGGGTAGAGTGCCGTGGAGTCACATAAGCTCATAGAAACCTAAAACTCCAGGATTCAAGCATTCCTTCTGTTTCATCCTCCCAAGTAGCTGGGACTACACCCGCCACTATCCCTGGCTAGTCTTTTCTATTTTTAGTAGAGATGGGGTCTTAAAATTCACGAGCCACTGCACCTGGCCCAATATAAAATGTTATTAATGAGGTATTTCATACTGAGCCTTTGAAATCCAATATATACTTACATGGCTTGATTCAGACTAATCATAGTTTCAGGGCTTTGTGGTCACCTGTAGCCCTGTATCAGATAGTGCAGGTCTGGGAAGAAATCAGCAGCTTCCTTGCTGTCTGGTTTCTGGGCTTGCCCCAAAGTATTCCTGTCTCCAGGAGGTACATTCCTTTATGCATTTGTCCCCTGTCCCTAGACATTACTCTGCAGGTCCTCATGAACATGGTCCAGAACATCAGAAGAAGGAACTTCGGCATCCTCCATCCATCCTTTAACCTCGGCAAGTATGTCCGAAAGGCTCTCTACGAAAACCTCCCAGCCAATGTCCACACACTCATCTCTGGCAAAATATGCATCTCGCTCACCAGAGTGTCTGATGGGGAAAACGTGCTGGTGTCTGATTTTCAGTCTAAAGACGAAGTCGTGGACGTAAGCAGTTTTTTTTATCTGGGTGTTGTCAAGTGAGAAAGGCCATTTTGCTTTGGAAGCAATACAGAGGGCTGTTGGAGGGCCCCTGCATGAGACTGATGTAAACTCTGCATCCAGTGGTTTGGTCCACAGCATCTATAAACGCGGAATGTCCCAGGGCAGAATGTCTAGTTTCAAATAATCCCTCCCCTCCTTCAGCACTTGGCCCATGACCACACATGCAGGGAACTTCGCTGTGGGTGTCATTCTGAGCTCACTCTTACATGTTCAGTAATGAAGAAGCCTCACAGGGCGAGAACATCTCTTATTTGTGTCTGTGCTTAGAGTCTAGTGCAGAATGAGTCATTTACAGTATCAAAGCACTGCAAATGTTTGGCCGATGCTTTTCATGAGGGTTCCTTGGATGAATGACTGTATTTTACCTGCTGTACAAGGCAGTAGCCTGGTGCATCCAACCCGCAGTCTAGCAGCCAGTTTCATCCTCTGTTTAACCTTGTTTCCAGAATCTTTTTCTAAATAGCCAGCACCTATTCTCGTGAATCTGTTCTTTCAATGAATTAGTGTGGTGTCCTATTTTTCAAAGTTGTCCGGGGGTCAGCAATGTCAGCATCTACTGTTTATTAGAAATGCAGACCCCACCTCTGACCTGCTGTGTCTAAATCCCAGGGCATAGGGTGCAGAATTTGGGGTTCCACAAGCTCTCTGGTGATTCTAATGAATATGAGCATTTGAGAAGCACCAATAAAGCCCCTGTAGGGGCTATAGTCAGCAAACCTTGGTCCTGTCTGCAGTAACCCAGGGTGGCTGTCATGGAGAACAAGGATAGGAAGTTAGAGACCACAGACAGTGTTAAGGAGCTTGTGCTGTAGATAAGACTGCAGGGCTGCAGTGCAGGTGTGTGTGTCCGTTCATCATTCATTCAACCTATATATTAAAGCCCCTTGTCTGTGCAAAGAGCATTTCAGATTGGTTGCCTTGCTCATTTGGAGAGACTTAACCTTATATAAAGGACTAGGAGGTGAAAAGAAGAGTGTTTCAGGCTGTAGTTTCATGGCGTTTTCTCGTTCACAGGCCTTGTCATGTTCCTGTTTCATCCCTTTCTTTTCTGGCTTGATCCCTCCTTCCTTCAGAGGTGTGGTAAGTCTGTCTTCTGGTGGCTGCTGGCTCTGGGCCTCCAAGCTTTCATTCAAAACGTTTCCACCTGCAAGGCGCTGGTCACAGGCACCTCTGGCTGTGTTCAAATGTGGAGCCTTGTGCCTCTCAGCCTTTTAGACAGAGACTCCACAGCTGGCTCAATTACCAGGCTGCCTGGGCAGCAAAACTTGCTTCATGTGTAATTAATTATCTTGCTATCTGTAAAATAAGACTGGCTATAGTTCACTTAATCTGCAGTAAATCTGAGCTCCAAAGATAACTCACCATGGCCTAGTTAAAGTATAAGACACTTAAGAATCCTTGCTCAGGTAGGGTAGAGCTTTATTTGTAGGGGAAAATTTAACAGTCATAACATTTTCTAAACAGACAAATCTTTAAGAATGGCCTAACACAGATTTTTTGCTTTATTTGTTTGGCCATTTGGCAATGCCCAAGAGAAAGTTTTGACTCAAAATACTAGCCTGGTAGGGGTCATTTTTAATTCATGAGAACAACTGACAGAGTATTTGATATAATCCTGTAGGTGGCATAGGCAAAGCTGAGTGGCAGAGGGAAGCCATGCTCAGGGGACATCTGTCAGAAGCCGGGTACTACATATGCAATATCTTATTGAGTCTTCTTCACTCAAGGATTAAAAGGAAGGAAAACTCATCCTCAGAAGAATTTATCAAAATGCCAGTTCATTGTGGGATAAAAGCATATGTTCTTTCTTCCTTTTTTTCCACTGCAGAAAGAGGCAGGCATGCTTATTGAATGTGCAAAGGCGAGTGATTACCCGAGAGCTATCTACAGCCCCTGAAGGCGTCGGTTCTCATTCTCAGGGTGTGGAGAGAGAAGGGAGATAGGCTGACAGGTTTCCCAAGCAAGGGGGTCTGGATTTGAATTCCCTGCCATCAATCTCCTTTGGGTCTACATCATACTCTGTCCCCAGTCGTTTTTAGGGCCCATTTATGTACTTAAATGGGCATACTTATGGGTGCGTGCTCGACCTTAGAACTTGGCCGGCTGAACACAGACTGGACTCCAGTCTCCATCTGCCTCTTCGCCAGGCACCTTTGTGCAGGGTACACGTGGTACAACCCTATACAGCAACACTGAGCACCAGTGTGGAAATGCGCAGAATTGCTCAGTAAGGATTCGTTGCAAGACTGATTCCAAAGCCACTACCCTCCCACAATAGCAGCCTGTTTGTGGCTCTGAGAAGCCCCTGCCCATAGTCTGAAAACTCATGAAGCCCAGAACTTTGGACTTATCAGTCCTTTTTTCCTTACTTCAAAGCGATACATGGATGGAGGAATGAGTGACAATATACCCTCCATGGATGCCAAAACGACCATCACTGTGTCCCCCTTCTATGGGGAGTATGACATCTGCCCTAAAGTCAAGTCCACGAACTTTCTTCACGTGAACATCTCCAACAATAGTCTGCGCCTCTGTCTGGGAAACATCTACCTTCTCAGCACAGCACTTTTCCCCCCAGATTTCAAGGTGAGCAGGGGGGTTGTGCTGAGGGTACAGCTCTTCCTCTCCTCTCTGTGTGCCGAAAGATAGCAGTTGTTCTCTATGCCACCGGACACAGTGGTCATGAGGCTCTTGGTGACCAGCTCAGTTGTCCCAGCAGCCAGGTGATAACAGGGATCACCTAGGAACACACACCTTACCTTTGAAGTTCAGATCCCACTTCCCGGGACTATGTCAGGGGGCGTAGCCTGAGCATTAGGATTTTTTAGTTGTTTTAGTTTCCAAATTGATTCTCAGTTGCAGCCGTGGACAAGGGCCGCCATGTTCAATGGTTTAGCTTTAACCTTCTTCAGTAGCTGCTGTTTTAGTTTTTCTTACCCCTCTACCATAGTAAGAAAATTTGTGTGCACCAACAGTTGGTGCTCCTGGGGAGCACATCGGCTACACAATGCGATGTCCACCAGGAGTCCAAACTCCCAGGGAGAGCGGAGGCTGTGTAACAGGGCTGGTGTTCCTGTGTGGTGTGTAGGCAGGTGAGCAGAGGAGGCAGCAGTATTGTCCTAGCCTGTCGGGACAGGCCCTGAAATTAGTTGGGGTGAGGTTTCATCCCAGAACTAAGAGAACGCAGAGAAACAAGCACCTTTTGTGCTGGGGTGCCAGCACAGTCTCCATGGTGTGGTGACATTCAGCCAAGTCCCAGAAGAGGCTGCCTCCTGGGAGTACGAGGCCCTTTGTTTAGCCTTGAGGTGGAGATGGCGGTGGTCATGTCCATGCTCAGCACACCCAGCAGCCTGGGGCCTGCAGGATTCCTCTCTGCAGCCTTCAGATGATGTTTAAATAAGTGGCATTTGGTGACTCACCTGCAGCTCTGTCTGTGTTTGCTCACAGGTGCTCGGAGAGCTATGTCTTCGAGGATATTTGGATGCCTTCAGGTTCTTGGAAGAGAATGGTACGTATGGGCTGCTGGGAGGACCCAGGTGCCCTTTCACCAAGCGTTGTGTCAGCTGTCTGCGTAAAGGGGACTTTGTCTTAGTTCCGTCCTCAGTGCTCAATGCGCCGAGACAGGAAATCTTTGCTAGTTAATGGAGGCTTAGAGGAGAGCCCAGGGGTACCCCCTACCCCCAGGGCAAAGCTAGGATTCAAACTGGAATATAGGACTCCAGGGCTCTCTCCCTCCCCCACATCATCATGTCTGAAGGCAATGTGTTCTCCTTTTCGCCTTGTGATCCTGTTAAACCTTTAGTTTAACAAAGACTGAAATTAGAGCTTCTGGCCTGGGCTCTAAGAGAAGCAGCCAGAATCCGGGTGTGGGTTGCGCCCACCAGACTAGTTCGTTTTCTCTCCCAGGGCAAGATCCTGATTTTACATCATCCTGGCTTATCTGACTGGGGGTATTGGGCTCTAGAAATATTAGTGTGTTTCAGTTTCCTGTATGGCTGAAAAAAAAGGGAGGTGACAGTAGAGCAGAATTGAATATTAGGTGTGTTTGGAGATATTTTTCTTTAATGCTAAAATGTGGTTGATGCACTGATCTTCTGAATTATTCTTTGCCCAAGACCAAGGAGACTGTTTGTATGACATACATGTACATTCTCCACCAGTGCTCATGTCGTAAGCAATTGGCGGTGTGCCAGGGATCTGTAGGGAACAAAGAGACGCAGCCCTGGCTGGGCTCATGGGAGAAGAGGGCTGATGGAGAGTGGAGCACAGTGGTGCTGACGGGCAGGTGTGGGGTACTGTGGGATCACAGTTGTGGAAAGTGGGGCTTCCTGAGGATGTGAGTCTGTCTACACTGAGGCTCTGGGGCTGAGTCGGAGAGCTCTAGCATGGGGGCCAGGAATGTGAGGCCTGCAGGATGTAGAGAGGGAGGCGGGGTCAGGGTGTGGCACCAGGAGATGGATGGAGAAGAGGGGCAGGATGGCAGCACATGAAAGTATGGGGGCAGGCTGGGCATGTGAACCTGGTTGGGGGACTTATGCTCCGTAGCAGTAGGGAGCCATTGATGACTATGGAAGCAGGAGTGGGGGGGTCAGTAGGACCCGGGCAGTGGTGCAGAAGGCTGAGACAGCGGGAGACCCACCTGGAGTCAGGGCAGTGAGGGTGATGAGAAGGAAGCCAGTTTGAAGGGGCCCAAGGGAACAGGAGTTGGAAATAACCAATGAGGCGATAAGGGAAGAGAAAGATGACCCAAGGCTTGATCAAATCCTAGCTTGTGGCTTCAGCAGTTGGGGTAAAGGCAGACGGGGATTCTGCTCACTGGTTTGGCAGGAAAGTTGCCATGTCCCCTGCCCAGAGGTGTGGTCTCTCTGGGAACAGATTCCTTGAAACATACCTAAGGGGAAGTGACCTCTCAGAGTGTGAGGACTGGGTCTGACCGGCCTGGAGAGATCCAGGGGAAGCACAAATCTGAGTTACTTTGGGGAACAAAACTCAGGCATCAAGGAGCAGTCCCTGGTCCTTGTAGCCTGAGGTTGGAAGTGAGAGTTGGTTCAGGTGCAGCCATGGGCATCTGAAGCCGCTTGTCCCCCTGCCCCGATCCAGGGTGTGAATTCTGGGAGAGCAGGGGCCTGGTGGGTGCAGGTGCCCAGCAGTCTCTCACCTGCTCGGGGCAGCCTGAAGAGGGCCATCAGGGACATCAGCCCTCACCTCAGGCCCCAGTTCTGCCACATGATAGCTGTGGTATGCTCAGCTGAGAAACGGAGGTGGTGGTGATGGTCCCAGTCTGGTGGCTGCTCTAAGGGTCTGGCAGCAGAGTCCCTCGCTCAGGGGCTGGAAGGCTTAGCCAGTGGTCCGGTTACTGTATTAATCAGAATCCTCATCTTTCCACCCCATGAGTCCAGATGTGGAAACGGAGTCCACACAACTAGCAGGAGCCAAACTTAATATCTGCCTGGCTTCCAAGCCCCTGAGACAGACCCCTTCCCCTTCCCCTTCCCCTTGGGTTTAGCTACTGACAGCCCAGCAGTTGGCCTCAGGGTCGCTCGCCCACCCTGAAATCTGAGGTGGGCAGGCAGGTGGGGAATGATCCTCTCATGTCCCACATCTGCCTGGTGGGTTTGCCTTCTGTGTCGTTCATAGGCATCTGTGACAGGCCCCAGCCGTGCCTGGAGTTATCCTCACAAGAGACGGAGTCGGAGGTCTCTGAGCCCCTCCTGGAAAACCTGAGCCTGGAGTGTCCCCTGGGGTCAGTGGCCTCAGAGATGAGGCTCGAGGAAGGTGAGCTGCTGGCCCACCTGCGCCTTAGCATCCTGCCCTGGGACGACAGCATCCTGGAGACCCTCTCGCCCAAGCTCACTCTAGGTACCAGCTCCCTGGGGGTGGAGGCACGCACTGCATGTTTCCCATGAAAGTTGGAGGAAGGGCCTCTTTTCACAGCTATGGAAGGAGGTGATGCTGCCATGTGGGAGGTGATGGGTGGAGTAACCAGGACAGGTGAATGGGGAACATCACCTCCCACCCACATAGGCTCAGTTTGGGGTCACCATCTCTCAGCACAGGCCTCCCCCTTACCCCAGTGCCTTGTTGCATCTCCCTTGTCATGGTGTCACTACCTGGAGGGGAAAAGATGCCACCTGAAATGCACTGAGGTCCCCTGCAGGCATCTGTCTGTACAGCCAGGCCCTCTGCTCATCTTTTGACTCTGTCTCCCTAATGTGGATCCTGAGCTCTGCCTGTGATAGGTTGGGTGGGCCCAGGGCCAGGGCTCCAGCCACTGGGACCTAGCCCATTACTCAGAACTCCACTGTCCACTCTCCACCCACCTCAAGGCCTCCTTTCTCAAGGCATCTCCTAAATGGCCACTCCCCTAAGGGGGAGGGATAGCAGCCGCCTGGGTTAATATGATTTGAGGTATCATGAGGTCATTAAGGGAAGTCTACAGGGTGTGCCAAAAGTTGCCCATAAAATCACCATACATAGGGGAAGTGGGAAATTGTAGCTGAATATACGTTTATTTACAAATATCCTCTATGTGTTGGCCTCTGTAAAATTTTGTAATGAATATTTTATAAATAAGGGTACATTTAGATCCAATTCCAATTTTCCCTATGTATAGCAACTTTAGGCTGGGGCTCCAAGAAGAAGGTGCTGGAATCCAGCTGGGGGTCAGCGTGTAAAGTTGGTGGTGTTTAAGCAGATCACAGGAGGACAAGGTCCTGTCACAGTGGGTGTGGCTGTTTCCACGCTGGTCATTGCTGGGGGCTATATTCCGATTTCTTTTTACAGAATGGCGCTTTGCCTCATGACTTATACACCACCATCTATTTAATTTCAGCCAGTAAATGGAAAATGGCTCTGTCTTGTCAAGGAGAAAAATAGCAGGCTTTTTAGAATAGAAGCCTTGTTCCACACGTGTGTCAGTTTGAGAGGACCCTGAATTGGGAACCCATGCTCTGGGAGCTGTCTCAGGGCTGTTCTGGGCTGTGTTCCCTGTTTGGTCTTCACATTGCTCTTGCTGTGAAGGGAAGGCCCTAATCCCAACTTTTGTCTCACTGGTGAATGCTGCTGACCCTTCCACTGTGCCATTAGTGTATTTCACAAAAATTCCAAGTACCCCAAGAGTAGGGTGGTTTGGTTTTCACACCGAGGGAGATACAGCTCGAAAAATGTCTTTTTCAGCACTGAGCGAAGCAATCAAACACAGAGGTGGGTACGTGAGCAAGATCTGTAACTTCTTACCGGTTAAGATAATGTCCTATATGATGCTGCCCTGGACCCTGCCTGTGGAGTCTGCAATCGCCATCGTCCAGAGGTGAGCATTCGACATTTGGAAGTGAGTAGTATAGGGGATTCCACCTCTCCTTTAGCCGTAGTTTGTTAATGGTTTGGAGTTAACAATGAGGAGATCAAAGTGAGCTGCTCCTAGAACTTATTGATCAGGTTCTCCTGGAAACAGGGGCAGAGGGTCAGCAGCTTGGCCCAGCTGCACCGCTCACCACAGCTATGTGGCCCTGGACAACTGAATTGACCTCTCTCTGCTGCGGCTTCCCATGTAGAATGCTGGGATGGTTAGAGAAGTCACCTAACTGGGGGCAGTCCAGTGGCCCCAGGAGGTCCTGTGGTTTATCCACAGCAAGCGTCCAGTTAGAGATGGTGTTGATTTATATTCAGCAATCATGACAACAGCAAAACTTAAATGACAGATAAGAAGAGTATGGGCTTCTGAGATAGGCAGCCCAGGCTCTGCAGTTTCTAAGCTGTGTGACCTCAGGCAAGTTACTCAACTTCTCTGAGCCTCAGTGTACTCATCGGTAATACCTGGGCAAGAAAACCTACCTCAGTGCATTGCCAGGAAGTGGAAGGCATTTGATTAAAAAAAAAATTACCCTAGGGCCAGGCATACTGGTCCATGCCTATAATCCTAGTACTCTGTCATGCCAAAGTAGGTGGATTGCTTGAGCTCAGCAGTTCAAGACCAGCCTGAGCAAGAATGAGACCCTGTCTCTACTAAAAATAGAAAACTAGCCGGGCATTGTGATGGGCGCCTGTAGTCCCAGGTACTCAGAAAACTGAGCCAAAAGAGTCACTTAAGCCCAAGAGTTTGAGGTTACTGTGAGCTGTGATGCCAGGGCACTCACCCCAAGGGTGACTGAGTAAGACTTAGTCTAAAAAAATAAAAATAAAAATTACCCTGGTGTAACTGAAACAAAAATTGAGCTAAGAGACCTATAGGGAGTCTAAGTGCCGACTGGTCAACTTGGCCCTGGACTTGGCAATTTAACACATAAGCAATTAAAATAATCTGAGATTCCCTACTCTTCAAGGAGTTAAGAATTCGGATTCTGGGGAAAGAAAGGCTCCAGAAATAAGGTCTGCCCAGCCATTAGCAATTAGTCAGTTGGTTTGTAAGAGCCTATGGAGTCCTGGCCCTGCCATTTGTCCCGACCTCTCCTGGGGTCCTGGATGTCCACCCACCACGCAGCTCTGTTCTGCCATCTCCTGTCCTTGGACCCCCTGTTTCGTGGATCCCGTATCTCCCCTTTTCTTGGCTTTTCTTTTGTTTTTCTGGAGTGGGGGCTCTGGCAATTTCCCAGGGAAGTAAACACTTGACGATGTGTGTGTTGAGAAGCGTGCTGATGCTCTGTCACCTCAGCGTGAGCCGTTTTTTTTTTTTTTCCATTCAGCCGGACAGTCACTGGGGATCTGTAGTCAAAGCCCTCTGTCTTTTCTCCAGCTCTGGGAAATTACTGACTCCTGTTGTTTCTGTAATTCCTCCTCTTTCTGTGGCTCTTATTAGTAAGGCGTTTGTCCCCCTGGGTGAGAGTCCCTGTCTTTCTGTCTGACTTGCCCTCTTTCCTGTATTTTTCATCTCTTTTGGTTTTCTTGCCTCTGCTCTGACAGAATTTCATCTTCCAGCCCCGTTCTGTACTTTTTCATTTCAGCAAACGTAATTTAGTCTCTGAAGAACCCTCTCTTATCCTCCGCTTTTTCTCTGTTCTTAGCATTCTGTTCTTCCTTTATGAATATAATATTCTCTTGGGTTATTTGCTGTCCTCTGAATTTTGGCGACAGTTTTGCTGTTTATTCATCTTTCCCTTTCACATCACGTGTTTATTGGTCCTCCTCGGTTGCTGTGTAGCCCAAAGGGCTGCAGGGCCAGTCTCTGTGCTGTGACGGGACTCAGTCTGCTCTCCAGCTAGGTCTTCTCCCTGCAAGGGAGCTCAGAAGGGACAGTCGTGTCACTTGGCAGAGCTCCCTAGCAGTGACCAGCACACTGAGGGGGGCCTCCTACTGCCAGAAGGAGGGAGGTCTGTTGGGGGTGCCACCTCTTTGCCAGAAGCCCTTCCTTTCCCCAGAGGGCTGGTTGAACTCTCAGGTTTTGCTGTGGCTCCCGTGCTCTGCAGGGGTGGGGGGCAGAGGGTCTGGCTCTGCCTGTTTCACTAGCTGCCTCCCGCTCTGCCTCCCCCTCTGCTTGTGGTCTCGTAATCTGCTAAAGTCTCTTGCTCCTTGGTGAGTCCCTGCCAGACCCACCTCCTTTCTCATTGCTCTTATAGATTTCTCACTTCCTGTAGCTAATGCATTTGCCCTTGAGGGTTTTGCCCATGATATGGGGGGTACGGGGGGTGTGGAATGTGAGGCACACCGGTTGTGTGCTGGAAGCCCGGCCATCTGCTTTATTTCCCACTTCTTCAGATTCACTTGGTGTTTTCCTTCTTTCTAGCAAACTAGTCCAGCATGTCCTTCAGTCCATCTTTTAAAGCCCAACCCCACCTTCAAAACCTGTCCTCTCCCTGGTGAGCCTCCCCGATTCCTCCTCCACCCTCCAGAACCGGCCTCCTCTCTCCACACCCCCATGGCCCTGCTGGAGGTCTGTGTTCAGACATTTATCAAAGCCTGCGAGGTGGGGTTGTTTGTGTGCCTGGGAGATGGGGAGTCCATGGGGGCCGTGCTTAGGCCTCTGCATGGTGCCCTGCTGGACGCACAGGTGACTGAGCACAGCAGGGACAGGTCTGGGCCACACGATACTTGGCAGCAGCTGGCGCTGGCCATGGCTTCTCTCTGAGGCAGGTCGAGCCCTGGAAAACCAAGGTCTTTCCCTTTTCTTTCCATGTAAGTCCCTTGAACTTTCTTGAACCCAAAGTGGCCTCACTTTACTTTAGAGATTTTCGGTAGCTCATCTTTGTTGTAACCTCCCAAATCCACCGTCTAGGAGCTTGTCTGACTGGGTTAGAGGTGACGCTAGCGCCTTGTGTGGACAGAGGTAGCTGCTCTGCTGCAGTGTGTGTCGTGCCCTTTATTCCAGCTTGTCTTCATGCTGACACAGTGTGCCTGTGTGTGAGCACACGTGTGTGTGCACATGTGTGTGCACGTGTGTGTGCCTGTGTGTGAGCGCACGTGTGTGTGCCCATGTGTGTGCACGTGTGTGCACGTACGTGTGTGCCTGTGTGTGTGTGCCCGTGTGTGTGCAGTGCATTTGTGTGTGCCCGTGTGTGTGTGCGCATACTTGTGCATGCACATGAGTGTTGATGGACTTGGTTTCACTCCTGCAGTCTGGTGACATGGCTTCCCAATATCCCTGAGGATGTCCAATGGCTACAGTGGGCGACCTCGAAGATCTGTGCTCGGCTGGTGATGTGTCTGCTCTCCACGTCCAGGTAAATAATCTGGCTGTGGGTGTGTGGCCAGATAGGTGCCTCTTGCATCTGATCAGGCCTCACACAACATCTAGAGAAGTTTGGCTAATTGCTGGGCAGGTGCTGAGGAACTTGCCCCTGGGTGCAGGGGGCCCTGTCTTGTGGGAGGTGGCCGAGTGTTCCTGGGGTCCCTGCCTTCCTATGGGGTGTGTCCATTTGAGCTGGGTGTTGCTGGCAGAGGAGGGGGGAGCTCACAGACAGCAGGGAAGGGTGCCTGACATGGAGGGCTCAGCGTGAAGTTCAGGGAGTATCAGATAGCACTGGGGGAGCACTGGGGGGAGCCTGAGGACAGAGCACTGGGGGAGCCCGAGGGACGGAGCTCTGGTGCCCTCCACACAGGGGGAGGCAGGTCCAGCTGGGACTTCTCCAAGTGTGCAGGGGTGGATGGGGTACCCGTTAATGCAGATTCCCTGGCTTCCGACCCCAGACGTACTGAATCACAGTCCCTGGGGACAACACTGGCAGTTTGTGTCATTATCAATATCTTGGATGATGATGCTACTTTTGAATTCTGAAAACTCTGATTCAGACCAAGAAGGGCCTTGCTACAGTTATGAGGGTTGGGCCTAACCTGAAAATTGTGGGCCTCAGTTTTCCCACCTGTTCTGTGGGAAGAGTCCTCATCATGGTGTTTTTGTGAGCTTCTGCGAGAGCTCATCACACAGAACTTGGCTCATGATGGCCATCGGGACACAGGGCCTCTGTTGCTATTGGCGTTTTATTGGCAGACACAGAGGGATTTGAAGGCAGGGAGGACTATCATCTGGTTTGCATTGGGAAGACAGCAGTAGTGACTGTGTGGCGGGTGGGTCCTGGGGCCCAGCTGGCAGCAGGCTCAACAGCAAAAGGGCTACTGCTGAGGTGTTGGTTACAAGCCAGAGGGAGGTGGGCCAGCCCTGGGGACAGATGGACAGTGGTAGGAGGAGATGGAGGGTGCCCTGGCAGGCAAGCAGTTTTGTGTGGAGGAAACCAATAGGCTATCAAGGACTCCGATGGGCAATGCTCATGTGTGTCCACTGGGAGGTGTCCAGGTGGCTGGGAAGGCCAGGATGGTGACATTACTTAGCATAGAAGGGAGAAGCTGTGGTCCTGGGCTGGGCCACCTGCAGTGCCCAGCGCCTGCATGGGGGTGTGCCGAGCAGCTGGCTGTGTGGTCTACCCTCGCTAAGACTGTGCACCTCAGCTCAGCAGCAGTGGCCACTAAGTTAGCTCTCTCCATTTATTTCAGATCCCAAATACCACCAAGTGGCCAGTAGGCGTCCCCATACAAACCAGACATGACTGGCACTCTGGACTCCAGCTTCCCTGTGAACCTGGACACTGTCCCACGGACTGTCCAGGAGAGGCCAAAGTTGAGGTCACCCCACAGTTCATCCTCAAGTCTGACCTGACCTTCTTGGGCAAAAAAGTATCAGATCACCCCCGTCTTCCCTGCTTTTCTGAAAACTCTGAAGAGTTTCTGAGCCATGTGAAGAGATGAGTCTGGAAAATTTGTTCAGAGGTGCTAACCTTCTCCGATCTCCAGGCAGCTACTTGTGCACTGCTGTGTGATGACCGCATGCCTGTGACACATAGGAGCCCAGCCTCTGGGCTGAAATTATTTTATTGAAACCAAAGGCAATGGGTTTGGTTTTATGAAAAGCAAGGACGTGACTGTTGATGTATGTGCGAATCCATCACTTAGTCCATTGCATTAAGGAAATGCAATATTTGAGTGTCAGTTGCTCAGACGGATGGGAACTGGCACAGAAAGCCTAGCATGGAGGACTCCCCTGACTCTGTTTCATAATCCTGTTAATGGTCAGACTAAGCCGGTGCAAGCTTCCTGGAATGGCAGGGGCTGGTGTGCAGGGGCTGGCTGGCCTTGGTGCAGTCTGGGGGTGTGGAAAGAAGAAAGAAGCGTGACCCCTCTTCTCCCATAGGAAGCTGTCGGTGCACTGGGAGGGCTGCAGAAGAACACCACCTGTCAGGTGACCTTAAAGGATGACAACTTATTTACATTTTAGAACACCTTTTTCACCTAAGTAAAATAATTTTTAAAGAATTTTGTATTAATAAAATTTTAGGGCTTGGCGCCTATAGCTCAACCGGCTAAGGCGCCAGCCACGTACACCTAAGGTGGCGGGTTCGAATCCCCAGCCCGGACCCGCCAAACAACAATGACGGCTGCAACCAAAAAATAGCCGGGCGTTGTGGCGGGCGCCTGTGGTCCCAGCTACTTGGGAGGCGGAGGCAGGAGACTCGCTTGAGCCCAGGAGTTGGAGGTTGCTGTGAGCTGTAATGCCACGGCACTCTACCCAGGGGGATAGCTTGACGTTCTGTCTCAAAAAAATAAATAAATAAATAAAATAAAATAAAATAAAATTTTAGGGAGTTTTATTATTTGTTAAATTGTGTATTATGTGAATTGGCATGGTATTAAGAGAATAATCCTTAAAAATTTCTAGCGTGCAGAGTGCAGAGCAGTGCTCCAGCTCCCTGGGTGGGAGCCAAACACAACAGAGATTCACCTCTTTTCTGCTGGCACCCTCAACTTGAACTTGGCTTTTTTTTTTTTTTTTTTTGCCATTCTTGGCCAGGGCTGGATTTGAACCCGCTACCTCTGGTATATGGGCCCAGTGCCCTACTCCTTTCAGCCACATGCTTCTGGCCTGTGTTCTTTTTTCCCTTTGCATTCTCTCATCCCCTCAGCCTCTCTCTGTCCTTCCTTTGACAGAGACAAGACTTTGAGAGAAGCCCCCTTTCTCCAGGTGTGGTGATTTGTTAGCAAGCTCAGTGTAATATGACTGAAGACTGAAACGTGTGTGTTTCTTCTTATGCATTTGAGAATAATATACCCAATAAAAAAGAAACAATAAGGTGGGGCGCCTGTGACTCAAAGGAGTAGGGCGCCGGCCCCATATGCTGGAGGTGGTGGGTTCAAACCCAGCCCTGGCCAAAAACTGCAAAAAAAAAGAAACAATAATGTGCTCAAACTCTAAATGTTGGCAAAGAAAGTTACAACTCTCACCTAGATTGTGTAAGTGCCCCAGAGTAGAAGAACTGTCAAGTCCAGGCAAAGCACTCTATTGAGAATTTGGGCCCTTTAAAGGAAAATCTGGGTCTAGAGGCAAAGTCTACATGTGCCTGTGATCTTGATGAGATTGTGAACTCCTTGAAGGAAGAGGCTTCTTGTGAATGTAAGCACATGGTCACCTAGCACACTGAAGCCCCTTTCAGGGCAGGGGTTTCTAGTTTCAACCAGGCTCCTTACCTTCTCCCGGGGCTGAGCAAGTTCCCAAGGCCTCCGGTTCGGTAGTGCTTGCCGAACTTAGCTCACTTAGTGAGCTAAGTGCTGGTGAGTGGTGAGCTCTCCTACCTCCCACCCCCTCTGGGTGTCAGAGCAAGGCACAGTCCCGGACAGAGCTGGAATGAGGTTGGGGAGGCCACGCCTGACACCCACATGGACTCAGCAACACACCCTCATTCTTCCCCAGTTTCCCAGTAGCCTTTCTCTGTCTCTGTTGTCTGAACCTCGTCTTTGGTCATTAGTAGGTCTAACTAAATCTTAATAGTGTTTTTCTAACCAGTGTTTTTCCATACAGACACATATATATCGGTTTTGTGACCACTATCAGGAAAGAAGTATGTTAAATGGCTGATAGGAAAATGGGCTTATTTTCTTTTTGCTTTTAAAAATTATTCAACCTTTTTAAGATGAGCACTTGTTTTATAATTTTTTTCTAAGTGTGTACTAAGATAAGGACGTAAGGAAGTGGAACTAGCCAAGGCCTCCCTCCCACCTGTGCCTCAAATGCCACCCCACCCTGCCCTCCCTACCAGGCCCCCACAGGCCCCCACCTTCAGGGAAGTGTATGGAAACGTCCATCCTTACGTCCTTACATTCCTGGCCTGGTCAGATGAAACCCTCCCTTTGATTTATGGTGCATTTATGCTTTGGGACTTGCCACTCAGGAATAATCAGCGTGTAGCAAATTTAATGTCAGAGAGTAACTGCCTTTCTTTGCTAAACAGAGAGCAAAACTTAGTGCAGCATTATGAGCCCAATTTTGCTACAAGAGTGAAATGCCTGCAGGTGTGTGTGTATCTATGCGTACACAGGGAGAGGAGGCTGAAAGGATATATGCCAGCCTGTCCATGTGGTCATTGATAGGCTGTTACCTGTAACTATATTTTATCTCTGGTGCTTAGTGTGTGTTTTCCAAATCTCTTGGTGAACATCAGAAAATAACTCCTAATAAATGTGTTTTTTCAGTGCTTTCTCTGTCTCTGCATCTAACCAGCAGGCCTCCCTGTGCCACAGCCCAGGGGCTCTCTCCTGGACGCTGTGGACCAAACTCTAAGAACCCTGACTCTCACACTGCCCCATCTCACCCTGGGCACCAGGCTGATCCCCAAGGCCCTAGCACACCTGCTGTGCCAGGCATCACTCCAAGGCCCCTCCCATCCCTGGCTCTGGCCAAGTTGGGTCTACGTGCTGCTCCACTCAGCACAGGAAATACGTCAGTCCCAGCCCCCAGCACAGAGTGCCTCTGCCCTTCAGCTTCTAAGTGTGTACTAAGATAAGGAAGTAAGGAAGTGAACTAGCTAAGGCCTCCCTTGGAACTGGGCACTCACCCCCAATCCTGCCCCCACTAAGACCTCTGGGATCTGGCCAGGACCCCACAGTCCCCAGCCCACTGGTGCCCAGTCAGGCTCAGCACCTTCCACCAGGGCTGCTGTAGCAGCTTCCTGCAGAGTCCCAAGGCCTGTCCTCAGTCTTTCAGCCGTGGCCTGTCTGCCCTCCACTTTGCTTCAGGGACTGACCTGAGCACCCAACACCCGGCTGCAGCTTCCCTGGGGGGTCCCAGCCTCCCCCACAAGCCCTAGCAGTCTCACCAGCAGCCCAGAGCCTCCTCCTGCCAGCTGCTCCAGAGTCTGTGCCATTGGCCTCTGGGATGCTCTCCCAGACCCTCTCACACCTTCGCACCTCACAGGTCAGGCACTGGGAGGCACAGGAGATGGAGACAAGCCCCCACCTCAGGGTACTCACCCCTGGGAAGGGGACAAAGGCCAAGCACCCAGGGGAGCCTGCAGTGCGGCCTGTCCCAAACTAATATGTGAGTGATCCAGCCTCCCTCCACGTGGCCAATGGGACTTGGGGTTTGATCTTATTACAGAAACCAGTATAGTCACTAAACCTCATTTCTACTTCAGATAAGCGGTTTATACACCGAGTTTTCTGGAATGCCAGGTTCCTGGCAGAAATTTCTAGGGCAGTCTAGGCTATGCTGCATTAACAACAACGAAATCCAAAAGGTTTATTTCTCATCCAGGCTGCTGCCCGGTAGACGCGGCTGAGCTGTGCTGGGAGTTGTCCCCACTCCCAGACCCAGCCTGGAGCTGCCCCACTGCTGGGGGGATGGCTTATCACTGCTGCAGGTTGGAAGAAACACGCTTCTGAAAGGTCTTCATCTGGAAGTGACTCATCCCTTCTTATATAGTGTGTTGATGGAAGCAGGTCACATGAGGGCAGGAAAACACAATTCTACCTCTTACCCAAAAGAGAACCATAGCAAAACCTGGTGAACAGCACTGCCAAAGGCCACAGAAAACCTCGAATACTGGGTCCAGAACCTTTCACCTCCCAGCTCTGTCTTTGAAAGTGGGTAGCTTCTGCTCAGAGCTGAGCATCGCCTCTGACTGCCCTGGTTTGGGACACCATGCTTGGTGCTAGGCTCTGGGTTCAGTGAGTGAGCCAGACAGGTTGCACCTCTGCCTTCATGGGGCTGGTGGTGTGGTTGGGAACACAGATGGTTGGTCAACCTGCAACAGTACAGTGAGGGAGTACAGTGAGGAAAGGAAGGGCAAGCTGCTGCTGGGTTTTGCCTTTTTGCAGGCAAGAAGGGGAATGTGGACTTTGTATATTTAGCCCGGGATGCTGGAGGCCTAGAATGCTGCTATTTCAATGGAAAAGGGTATCAGGGTCTTTGCGAGTAGGAGGGTGAGAAGAAAAGGAAGTAAAATAATGATGTTATATTATCAGAAGGGAATAGTTACATGACTTGCAATAATACTGAAACTTCCTCTTTTCCTATTTTTTGTCTATTTCTTTCATTGCACTTATCACAAGGTGTGCCTGTTATGTATTACATATTGTTGTTTTCTGAGATGGGGGAGTTGTTCTGCATCCAAATATAAGCCCATGGCTGTCTTGTTCCCCGACGTGACTGGCCCCTATCCAAACACCTAGGTGACTCAGATACTTGTTGGTTGCAGCTGAATTAGTAAGTCATTTATCCAGTGCCTACTGTGCGCTGTGCAGAGTGCCAGGAGCTGTCACTTTCCGTCCCTTATGCACACACCTCCCTCTCCCTACCCGCCAGAGTTTTGCTGTGTTACCCAGGCTAGAGGGCAGAGGCGTCAGCGTAGCTCACAGCAACCTCAAACTCCTAAGGTGGAGTGATGTTTCTGCCTCAGCCTCCCGAGTAGCTGGGACTAAAGGCGCGCGCCACCATGCCTCACTAATTTTTCTATTTTTAGATGAGACCACGAGCACACCCTTTTAATCGACCCTGTGAAGTACAGATGACCCTCATCTTCATTTTGACAATGAGGAAACGGAGCCCCTGGGGTTCCAGCGACTGGAAGGGTCCACCCAGCCAGCAGGAGAGCCACCAGGGCCACCATCGGGTTTGCGAAGCTCGAGACGTTGTGAAATTCGGCCGCCGCAGGCCAGGTGTGGCTGGGCTTGGGGCTTCTCGGCTGAGTCTCGGGGCTTCACCGGCGCGTGGGAACAAGAGCAGCACCCACTAGGGAGGGTGCCAGGAGGCTTAAGAGATGCCTTAGAGCACCCATGAGCGTGTCTGATCTCTCCCACACGCCAACTCCAAGCACCTGCTTCCCAACCTCCTGGCAGACCTGTCCTCCCTAGCTGCAGTGGACGCTGGAGGATTGCAGCGGCTCCAGACATCAGGAGTTCCGCGCCGTGTCTGAACATCCGGGTCACAAGCTCATAGGGACCAATGAGCGAAGCTACCGTGAAGCCAGGGGGCGGGGAGAAAGGGGGCATCATGGCCGCCCCCAGTGAGCGG